AGCCATATGAATGCCCTGTCTGGAACCATAAATATATAGGTCACATAATTGAGTCATATCTTTTTGCTCACATTGCATAGAAAGGTTGGATCTGATTGGTTAATTCTTTGTACCAGCAATCCTATATATAAGTATAGGCACCTGGTTTTTTAAAAAGTCATTTTGAACAAAAAGGGTAGGTAATTACTATTATTATTATTTTTATAAATCAATCAAAATTATACCTATTTTTTGGTGTGCCACAGAATTTTAGTAATTAGTTTATGTGTGCCATGACATGAAAAAGGTTGAAAATTACTGCTATAGACTATGATACACTCACACACTCTCCACTCAGTGACTCCAAGGTTTACTGGGTGGGTTATATTCCTCTTAGGCATACTTATTCAGATGATCTATTTACACTAAATTCTTGAGATTGTGTTTTTTCTTTCATAGCTGATTTTTATTTTTCTCTGCACTTTATGCTAATATTTCAGGCCATGCTTTCTTTTTTCCCCCAACTTCCCCTAAATATCACACATTAAAGAGTAGTGGATAATAAATGTTAACAATAACAACAAATAGGGAATAATAACGAAAGAGTTACATTATAGCAAAGCAGGTTACTTAAGATCAAATTATAAATATTTCTCTTCTTAAAAATTGCAGGTCATTATTATCACAGAGATCTGCCAATTTTTTTTTTATTGCCTCTCAGTCCTCAACTCTTCTACAGATCCTTGCTCACTTCCATCCTTTCTAAGCCTACTCCTGGGCAATTCCTGGATACTTAAAATGATTCCAACTTCACTTTATAGAGTAATTCAGTTCTCTTTTCCTTTTCATAATGATTTTCCTTCACCATGCCCTTAGGCTAGCTTTTGACAGCTAAAAAGGCCAAAGTATTTTTCCTAATTGATCTCTCTGTTCTTTAGTTTCTTTATCTGTAAAATGGGGAAACCGTATTTCTGTGGGTTATTATGAGGCTTCAATGAAATGATGCCTGCTTTGTACCCAAACAGTGCTTGATACATAGTCATAGTAGGTGCTCAGTTTAATGTTAGCTATTATTTTCGATTGGTATTTGCAATACCAGATAATCTTTTAGGAGTGTTTTTTTTTTAATATATTTTATTGATTTTTTTTTTTTTACAGAGAGGAAGAGAGAGAGCCAGAGAGTCAGAAACATCGATGAGAGAGAAACACCGATCAGCTGCCTCCTGCACATCTCCTACTGGGGATGTGCCCGCAACCCAGGTACATGCCCTTGACCGGAATCGAACCTGGGACCTTTCAGTCAGCAGACCGATGCTCTATCCACTGAGCCAAACCGGTTTCGGCTAGGAGTGTTTTGGGGATTACAGACAAAGTGCGTAATACAGGGCCTGCCATGTGGAAGGCAAATGACAACATGTAAATGTGTTAATATTTACAGGGGTTTTACTCAATACCAAGAACTCTTCTCTTTATGCACACGTAATATTCACAACAGCTGAGAAAAATAGGTGCTATTCTTATCCTCATTTGACAGACGAGGAAACCAAAACAAAACCAGTTTAAGTAACTTGTCTAAGGTCACACAGCTAGTCTGTGACATAACTCAGATTTTAACTCAGGCACTGGACTTCATAGTCTGTGAATGTACCAACCAGGTTGTTCTGCCTTTTTATATTTTTTTAGTAGTATCTATATATATAATAAAGCCTAAGCGACCAGGCGACCGGATGACCAGACGACCATCCGGTAGCTATGATGCACACTGACCACCAGGGGGCAGACACTCAATGCAGGAGCTGCCTCCTGGTGGTCAGTGTGCTCCCACAGCGGGAGTGCTGAGCGCCGCTCAGCTGACAGATGGGCACCTGACACCGGGCTCATTGCTGGCCAGAGTAGCTGTGGCAGTGTGAGCCTCTCCCGCAGACACTCCCCCTGCGTGCCCAAGTGGCGGTAGCAGCAGGCACAGTGGGGCTGTGGCGCCCAGCCTGGGCTTGGGATCCTCCCCAGCCGCCTACCGCTTCATGCTGTGTGGGATCAATGCGGACAGCGGGTTGAAGCCTGATGAGCTGGCGGGTAAGGCTGGGCTGTGGAGGTGCGGAGGTCCACTGATCCCTGAAGGCGAGGCCAAGGGACCCCACTGATGCACGAATCTGTGCACTGGGCCTCTAGTTCATAAAGAAATGAAGACAGAAGTTTCATTCAGTGCATATTCTAGCTATACCAATTTTACCAAGGACAAATTCTCTTAACATAGTTTTTAGAAGTTCACTAGGCCTTCCAGGATTGTTATCAAGAAGTATGGTTTTTAAAAAGTTATTTACTGTAAAATTCATCTAGTGTCTAAACAGAACCAGACTGCACAATGCTAAATCGTGGGATTTCAACAAATATCAGAAAAGTGTTGGATTTCAGAGTTCCCTCTATTTGTCTAGATATATTTGCTATGAAGATGACATTACTAATGGAACTTATATAATAAAATAAAGCCAACAGCAAAATCAATCTGGTATTTATTTTGTAGTCACACAACTGTTTCTGTCCTGCAGTGTAATTAAGCATCCATGATCAGCTGCCCAGGAAAAAGTTGCAATTAAGTTTATTTTTCTAAAATAAAACCAAACATTTTAGAGGTCAGTTTCAGGGATAATTAATCCAGTGAAGGGAAAAAAGAGGAGTTGGGCCTCCAGGCTCCCTGCTGCAGACCTGGATGAAATGTTCTATTGCCCTTCTTGAAATGAAGGCCTTTTGTTGGGGAGTGTGTATGAGTAGACACTGGGCCGGTTGCCAAGCCAGTACCCATTCCTTCTCTCCCCAATCATAACATATTTCCTCTTTCCAACATAACCTGGACCTTTTTCAGATATCTGCTCCTCCTCACATCCACGTGTTTCAAGGAATGCTAAACCTCTCCTCCCTGCCTCCAGCAAGTGGATCCTGATCATCCTGCCTAAGACATCACAGTCATCTTGTTCCCCTGGCTAAATTTATGAGTTAGAAATAGACTCCTGAACTGAAATGTGAGACATTTGATTGGGGCTCCTGGAAAACATATCTGGGTTCTAAACAGAGACATCCAGAGATAGCTCCTTTCTGCATCTGGACACTGTTTTATGTGAAGGCAATGCCTGTAACAGTCATAGCCACTTTGCAATGCCGAGGATTTCAGAACAGAGAGAAGAAAGCCTGGATCTTTGATGAAACTATGAAGTCATGCGCACTTCTGCGCCTAGAGCCTGTTTTTGGCACTCTCTGCTTTTCAATTGTGTAAGATAATAAATCTCATTGTTTAAGGCATTTTGAGTCAGACTTTTCTTTTATTTGAATCTCATAGCATTCTAAGTCATACATGCATGCATGCACTTGTGCTGGCTTCCGCCAGCATGTGTATTAGAAAGATGGGGTAAATCAGACTGCTTTTAGGGAAAGAAGGTAGCTCGAACATAAACCAGGATGAAACAGAAATTTAGGATCTGCCCAAACCTGAAACATGGCAAATCTGTCAGCTTGCTACCCAAAGTATGGTCCATGGATCGGCAGCTTATTAGAAATGCAGAAATCTCAACCCCACCTCCGACCTACTGCATCAGAACATGCATTTTAACAAGATTGGAAGATGCTTCCTGTACACATTAAAGTCAGAGAAGCATTTACCTATCATAGGATCCTTGAGTCCTAGGAAACAAGCAGGAGAAAGGGGTCCAAAATCATGGCTCCCCAGAGATCTCTTGAGGAGCTTTTAGGGCTCAGATTCCTTCTCCTTTCTCTTGTCCCCAGCTGGAGGAAAGGGCCTCGGAGTCATTTATATGTGGTAACCCCTCCCCAGGTCCCTTTCTCTAAAGATTCTGCTCACTGACACTTTAAAACCAAAGTGTCAGTCTGAAGCCGAGGTGAGAAGGGATGCCTCTCCCTGATATGATGGCTGCTGTGGAGGGCCCTTATTAAACCAAGGGAACCACACATCACAAACCCAGCCGTTACTTATGAATTCAACTTGGGACAAGAAAAGCCAAATTGGAAGGGCAGGCTAATCCACAGCTACCAGGCTAGCACACCGTGTATATAGTAGGAGCTCAGGCAGGACCTGGTATGTAATTTGTGGAGCTAGGTGCAAAATAAAAATGGTGGGCCTCTTGTTCAAAAATTATTAAGAATTCCAAGAAAGCAACAACAGAGAACTAACACCAAATGCAAGGCCCTTCTAAGCCTTATGCTACTGCACAGGTTGCACACCCAGGAAGCCAGCCTTGCTCTCCGGATGAAATGAGCAGGAAAGGAAGGAATGTAGTTGTCCCTGGTTTCAGAAAACTTTTTGCAATGAAGAGAAACTATCATTGGAACAGGTCTATGATTGGTTCATGGTATGTGAGACTCTGGGATAAAATTGTTCCTACTAAACATTGTTTTTTTTATTTCTTCATTCAAACTCATCACATGCAAAGTCAATGGCTAGTTTCGTGGGTACAAATAATTTTATAAAGCCATTCCCCCATCCTCATGGGGCTCACACTCCAGTGGGCAAACTAACATTAAAATAGACCTATAATCTGAGACAGCAGATTATTATAGTGGAAAAAATCCAAAAAGTATTAAGTACTTGACATTGAATCACAAATGCTCCAAATCTTAAGTGTCCTCCATAGGTTAGTAATGCTCCGTTCCTAACGAAAGTTTATGGGCAAACATTTTATAATTTATTTTTTATTTAAGTATAGCTGGTATAAAACTTATATTAGTTTCCAGTATACAATGTAATGTTTCAGCATTTTCCTAACTTTTCCAATGTGATCACCCCACTAATTCTAGTAATCACCTGTCACCATGTAAACCTACCACAATATTACTGGCTATACACACCTTCTGTTTCTTACCCATCTCCCCACCCCCTCCTTTCTGGCAACCATACCTTTGGCCTCTGTTTCAATCAGTCTCTTTTGTTGTTGTTTGTTTGCTTTGTTTTTAGATTCCACATGTAAGTGAAACTATACGGTATTTCTTTCTCTGCCTGACTTACTTCTCTTATTTATCTTAGCATAATACCCTGTATATCCATCCATGTTGTCCCAGAACATCTATCCCAATCCCATTGCCAGAGGCGGGCAGACCAGATGAGGTGGCCTATTTCCCTCATGTGTTTGGAGAATGCTTGGCAAGGGCTAAGAGACCTGAACCTGTGTAGGAGAGAACGGAGAAATCTGCATTGACTGTCATGCTCGAGAGAGAGAGAGAGAGAGAGAGAGAGAGAACGCAGTTTATTTTATACCTTCTAAAACCCAGAAACAGTGAGCAGCTTTCACATTTCAAACACACAATCCAATTCACCTTTGGTGAAGTGTCTGATGAGGCTGCACTGGGGCGGCTGACTGATAAGCAACGCTGTCCATCAGGGAGCAGTGGGACATTCACGTCTTAGGTCACAAGACAGAAACCGAGAGCGATTCCACTGAATCAGATGAAGACTTTACTCTGGGCGTCTGGACCCCAAAAAAATCCCTACATTACGACCACTCCAGAGAGTAACGGAGCGAGTGACGATGGGGCTGCTGGACGCTCAGCCAGGTGTATTCTCCACTCGACCCGCCTGCGCCCCCGCACCCGGAGCGGCCAGTCACCCTCACGCCTCTGGAAGAACACACGCTCCTCCCAGCCATGAGCCTCACATGCGCCTTATAAACACGGGAACCCTGACTGCTCAACCTGTACACGTCGAGATCCCATCACTGCCCCAGTCAAGCACGGATCCGAAACCTAACGTCACCGAGCCGACGTTTGCAGAAACAACTGGAGCACACGATCCAGACCGAGGCTTTTCCGAGGAACGCCTTTCCCAGGGCCCATATTAAGCTGGAAAACCCGGAGGAAGCGAGTGGACTGCACCTGGCGTCACAGATTTTTTTTTTTTTTTTTTTTTTTTTTAGCCACAACAGATGCACTCACCCTTTAAAAAAAACCGCTGTCTGGGGAGAAGACTGGTGGGGCCAGAAGTCGTTGGGGCCCGAAACTCGAAAAGCGAACGCGCAGTTCCCGGCATTCCTGGTGGGCGGTACTTCCCTTTGACCCCGCGCTGACGCGCTGCACTTCCGGCCTCTGTTACTAAGGCAGGGAAGATGGAGGCAGCGTCGGTGTCGGTCCCGGTCGAGTGGATAAAGAGCTGGGAGAAATCAGGGAGGGGCGACTTTTTGGACTTATGCTGGCTTCTCAGCGAAAACAGAAGCCACGGCAGTTCGACTTACAGAGATTTCCAGCGAGCTCTCTATGAGTTATCACACCATGTCATTAAAGGAAATCTGAAGCCCGAACAAGCATCGAGTGTTTTAAATGACATCAGCGAATTTCGGGAGGATATGCCCTCCATTCTGGCTGATGTCTTTTGCATGTTAGATATTGAGACAACCTGTTTAGAAGAGAAGAGCAAGAGAGACTGTTTTACGCAGTTGGTGTTAGCGTGTTTGTATTTCGTTTCAGACACGATTCTAAAGGAACGCCTGGATCCAGAAACATTGGAATCATTAGGACTTATCAAACAATCACAGCAATTCAATCAAAGGTCAGTGAAAATCAAGACAAAACTCTTTTATACGCGGCAAAAGTTCAACTTGTTAAGAGAAGAGAATGAAGGCTATGCTAAGCTCATTGTTGAATTGGGGCAAGATTTATCGGGAAATATGACTGGTGATTTAATCTTAGAAAATATCAAATCCTTAATAGGATGCTTTCATCTAGATCCCAATAGAGTTTTGGGTGTCCTTTTAGAAGTGTTTGAATGCAGACCAGAATGTGATGACTTCTTTATATCTTTATTAGAACCTTGTGTGAATATGTGTGAGCCGCAAACACTTTGTCATATACTTGTGTTCAAATTCAAGTTTTACCAGGAGCCGAATGGAGAGACTCCTTCATCTTTATACAGAGTTGCAGCAGTGCTCCTACAAGTTAATCTTATTGATTTAAATGATCTTTATGTACATCTTCTTCCAGCTGATAATTGCATTATGGATGAATATAAACGAGAAATGGTGGAAGCTAAGGAAATTGTCAGAAAACTTACGATAGTTGTATTGTCTTCTGAAAAAATTGATAAGCAAGAGAAGGAAAAGGAAAAAGAGGAGGAGAAAGTAGAAAAGCCACCTGACAACCAAAAACTTGGTTTGTTAGAAGCCTTGTTAAAGATTGGCGATTGGCAGCATGCACAAACATTATGGGATCAGATGCCTCCATACTATGCTGCTTCACATAAGCTAATAGCTCTTGCTATTTGCAGGCTTATTCACATAACTATTGAGCCTCTCTACCGAAGAGTTGGCATTCCTAAAGGTGCTGAAGGCTCACCTGTTCGTGCTTTGCAAAATAAGAGAGCTCTAAAACAAGCAGGGAGCTTTGAGGATTTGAGGACAGATGCCTACAATATGTTCTGTTACCTCGGTCCCCACCTTTCTTGGGATCCCATTTTATTTGCAAAAGTGGTGCGCATAGGCCAGTCCTTTATGAAGGAGCTTCAGTCTGATGGAAGGAAACAAGAGGCTCAAGAGAAAGTGGACGTTATTCTTAGCTGTTTACTTGGCATTACTGACCAGGCCCTACTTCCATATCTTTCTCTATCGTCTGTATGGCCAGTGGAAGAATGAAACTTATAACAGTCACCCACTTTTAGTAAAAGTTAAAGCTCAAACAATAGACAAAGTTAAATATATCATGAAACGTCTAACCAAGGAAAATGTAAAGCCTTCTGGAAGACAAATTGGGAAATTGAGCCACAGCAATCCAACTATTTTGTTTGATTATATCTTGTCACAAATACAGAAGTATGATAACTTAATAACACCTGTAGTAGATTCACTGAAATACCTCACTTCATTGAATTATGATATCTTGGCCTATTGTATCATTGAAGCTTTAGCAAATCCAGAAAAGGAAAGAATGAAACACGATGATACAACTATTTCAAGCTGGCTTCAGAGTCTTGCTAGTTTCTGTGGTGCAGTTTTTCGTAAATACCCAATTGATCTTGCTGGTCTTCTGCAATATGTGGCTAATCAGCTAAAGGCAGGAAGAAGTTTTGACCTGCTTATATTGAAAGAAGTGGTACAAAAAATGGCAGGAATAGAAATTACCGAGGAAATGACAATGGAGCAACTAGAGGCCATGACTGGTGGAGAGCAACTAAAAGCTGAGGGAGGTTATTTTGGCCAGATCAGAAACACTAAAAAATCCTCCCAGAGATTAAAGGATGCACTATTGGACTATGATCTTGCTCTTCCCCTTTGTTTGATTATAGCTCAGCAGAGGAATGGGGTGATCTTTCAGGAAGGTGGAGAGAAACATTTGAAACTTGTTGGAAAGCTCTATGATCAGTGTCATGATACCCTGGTACAGTTTGGTGGATTTTTAGCATCTAATCTAAGCACAGAAGATTATATAAAGAGAGTACCTTCAATTGATGTGCTCTGTAACGAATTTCATATACCCCATGATGCAGCATTTTTCTTGTCTAGGCCAATGTATGCACACCATATTTCATCCAAATATGATGAACTTAAAAAATCGGACAAGGGAAGTCAACAGCAACATAAAGTCCACAAGTACATAACATCATGTGAAATGGTGATGGCCCCTGTCCATGAAGCAGTAGTCTCATTGCACGTTTCCAAAGTCTGGGATGACATCAGCCCTCGATTCTATGCCACATTCTGGTCATTGACAATGTATGACCTTGCAGTTCCACACACCAGCTATGAACGCGAAGTCAGTAAACTTAAAGTCCAGATGAAAGCAGTTGATGACAATCAAGAAATGCCTCCAAATAAAAAGAAAAAAGAAAAGGAGCGTTGTAGTGCTCTTCAGGACAAGCTTCTTGGAGAAGAAAAGAAACAGATGGAACATGTACAGCGAGTTCTACAGAGACTGAAACTGGAAAAGGACAACTGGCTTTTAGCAAAATCTACCAAAAATGAGACCATTACAAAATTTTTACAGCTGTGTATATTTCCTCGATGTATTTTTTCAGCAATTGATGCTGTTTACTGTGCTCGTTTTGTTGAATTGGTACATCAACAGAAAACTCCAAATTTTTCCACACTTCTTTGCTATGATCGAGTTTTCTCTGACATAATTTTCACAGTTGCAAGCTGTACTGAAAATGAAGCTAGTCGATATGGGAGGTTTCTTTGCTGCATGTTAGAGACTGTGACCAGGTGGCACAGTGATAGAGCCACATATGAAAAGGAATGTGGAAATTATCCAGGATTCCTTACTATATTACGGGCAACTGGATTTGATGGTGGAAATAAAGCTGATCAACTAGACTATGAAAATTTTCGACATGTTGTACATAAATGGCATTACAAACTAACTAAGGCATCAGTACATTGCCTTGAAACAGGTGAATATATTCACATTAGGAATATCTTGATTGTGCTAACAAAAATACTTCCTTGTTACCCAAAAGTTTTAAATCTGGGTCAGGCTTTGGAAAGAAGAGTGCATAAAATCTGCCAAGAAGAAAAAGAGAAAAGGCCTGATCTATATGCATTAGCTATGGGCTACTCTGGGCAGTTGAAATGTAGGAAGTCATACATGATACCTGAAAATGAATTTCATCACAAAGACCCCACTCCGAAGAATGCAGTTGCCAATGTACAAAATGGGCCTGGTGGTGGGTCTTCATCTTCAATAGGAAGTGCATCTAAATCTCATGAAAGCAGTGCTGAGGAGAATGATAAATCAAGGGAGAGATCTCAGTGTGGTGTGAAAGCTGTAAATAAAGCTTCTAGTGCCACACTGAAAGGCAATTCAAACAATGGCAATAGTGGCTTTAATAGCAGCAAAATCATTAAAGAAAATGACAAAGAGAAAGGGAAAGAAAAGGAGAAAAGAGAAAAGACTCCAGCTACTACTCCAGAGGCCAGGGTACTTAGTAAAGATGGTAAAGAAAAACCAAAGGAAGAACGGCCAAATAAAGATGAAAAAGCAAGAGAGACAAAGGAAAGAACACCTAAGACCAACAAAGAGAAAGAAAAATTCAAGAAGGAAGAAAAAGCTAAAGATGAGAAATTCAAGACCACTGTCCCCAACATAGAATCAAAATTGACTCAAGAAAAGGAAATAGAGAAGGAGTCATTCAGAGAAAGAGATATAGCAAAGGAAATAAAATCAAAAGAAAATGTTAAAGGAGGAGAAAAAAGACCAGTTTCTGGGCCCTTGAAGTCACCTGTTCCCCGATCAGATATTACTGAGCCTGAAAGGGAACAAAAACGCCGTAAAATTGATATACACCCTTCTCCATCACATACCTCAACAATAAAGGACAGTCTCATCGAACTCAAGGAGTCTTCAGCAAAGCTCTACCTTAATCATACTCCTTCACCACTAATCAAAAGTAAGGAGAGAGAAACAGACAAGAAAGATTTGGACAAGTCAAGGGAAAGATCCAGAGAAAGAGAGAAAAAAGATGAAAAGGATAGAAAAGAGCGGAAACGGCATCACTCAAACAATGACCGGGAAGTGCTACCAGACTTAACCAAGAGGCGAAAAGAAGAAAATGGAACAATGGCGGTTTCAAAACACAAAAGTGAAAATCCATGTGATTCTCCTTATCCAAATGAGAAAGACAAGGAAAAAAATAAGTCAAAATCTTCAGGCAAAGAAAAAGGCAGCGATTCATTTAAATCTGAAAAGATGGATAAAATCTCCAGTGGCAAAAAGGGTATATACAGACCCCTAAGTTGAAGGTCTCCTGGAGGAGGATGCCAAAGCTCCATGCATCACTCTCAGGACGGTATCTCCCATAATTAAGAGCTTCTGGTATTGTCCATTTCAGGGGAATCTGCTTTAAGTCAGAAGATGAATACAACCCACCATCCTCTAGATAAGACATTCCAAAGTCACCAGTTGTCAGGACATTATTTTCACCTCTAGTCAGTTCCTTGCAGCACGGTTCCTGTGTATACAATTTTCATTTGAAATTCGCCATCCAGAAGCAGCATCTGATGAAAATTTCATCCTTCTTTCTCAGAAAAGAGAGGAAACCGCCTCCGGGGACTAGTTCCTTAATGATGTAAATAGACTGTGTTTATGTGCAAACTCCTATACGTTTGACAATATTGGGATGATTGATTGTATTACTTGAGGATTTTGGCTTCTTGTAAAAAATTTAACTTTAGTTCCTGGGAAAGATCATTTTTACATGTTGTAACAGCAGTAGCAGTTTTATCCTTTCATATGCCCTTAAATATGTCACCAAATTTTCCCTTGCTCAATCATCCTCCTGTTGTGACATCTTCATGATTGAGAACTCATTTCTTATTCTAGTTATGGCCATACTGACCATGATACTCTTGATTGGAACATTGACTTTTGCCATTTAAAAAATTGAGATAAAATTCACAGAACACAAAACTTGCCATTTTAAAATGTTTTTTAGTATATTCAATATGTTGTAGAACCATCACCACTAATTCCACAACATTCCCATCATCCCAAAGAGCCCCCACACCTGTTAGCAATCACCCCTAATTCTCCCCTTTCCTCAGCCCCTGGAAACAATTAATGTACTTTCTATTTCTATAGATTTATCTGTTTTGAACATTTTATAAACATGGAATCATGCAATATGTTACCTTTTGTGTCTGGCTTCTTTCACATAGTATTGTGTTTTCATGGTTCACCCATGGTATAGCATGTATCAGAACTTCCTTTCTTTTTAAAACTGAATAATATTCCATTGCGTAAATATGTACCATATTTTGTTTATCCACTCATCAATTATGGACAGGAACAATGATTTTTAAGTATTAAAATTTTAAGTTCAACAGAGTACCCAAATTATGATATCAAGATTATAATTACATGGTGTAAACAGAATGCTGTATAGGAATGATATGTAATTTATTTGTCAGCATTTCATGCAAGTGTGGCTATTTTCTAAGGCTCTTCTAGCTTTGATTTTATGAAATATATGAATATTATTAGTATTTTCATCTATAAAGTTTAATGCCTTAAGCATTATTTTAAAAATGAATGAGAAAAATGGTAGACAAGAAGTTATTTGCCACATGTTGTAATGATCATATTTTTAATTTATTTCAGTATGCAGTATTTGAAAAATGTCAATACATAAAAGAAAATGAGTATGAGGAAGTCAATATATTTTTAAAGAAATTTTTATAATTTAGGAGACATTGCATCTTAATATAAATCACTATTAAAATAATACCCTTGTGAAAAAATAATAAAAAACACTTTCTGATCTGCATGCTCATTTGAATAGGGTCCAATTGGCAGAAGAAGTAGGGCATCTTGCACAAACCATCCTGTGATTGGTGGGAGAGGGGAAGTTCTGGAGCCTTGGTTTTAAAGGGTACCACTAACACATATCCAATGCATGCTTTGCAAGGAAGCTGGGCACACAGTCTGCCTTCCTCCATCTCCATTGCAAACCTGGAAGCAAGCCTGTCTATGCTTTTGTGAATCTGAACCTACATCAGGTTGAGCCAACTCAATCAATGGGGAAATACAAATGCCCACTTCATTTTTATTCAGCTGCTCAGAGGCTTGCAGTACCGAGTTTCCTAGGACAGCATGCCAGAGAAGCTCCAGGAAGTAGAGTTTCCTTAAAGAAGGCACATTCTGCCCTTAGCCATGTGGCATTCAGAGGGCCAGCAAAGACCCTTCAAAAGAAAACAGAACAGCTCCAGCTATGGCAAGGTTGTTATAATTTAATGCCAAAACAAAGAGTACAGCTAGGAGAGCATCTTACTGGGGATTATAAATAAACAAGAGCTGAATCTAAAAAGACTATCTTTCCTAATAAGAATCTATGATGTTCCACTGACTGTAGAGTCTGACTTAGGAGTTTTTTGTTGTTGTTTGTTCTTTTGTTTTGTTTTTTCATTCTTGGGGTTAGCCTGGTGATATATTAAATATTTTCCTGTTTTGCAGTGGTGTGAGAGGTAGTGTAATATAATGCTGATGACTGAACATTCCATAGCCAGAATGTCTGGGTCCTGATTTAACCATGTTATATATAACCTTTTTTAAAATCTTGGGCAAGTTACTTAAACTTTCTGAATTTCAGTTTTTATATCAGTAAAATGAGGATAATATAGCAGCTACCTCACAATGTTGTTGTAATGTAATGAGTAAGTACTGATAGAGCACTCAGTACAGGGCCTGACACACAGGAAGAGTTTCCTCCTCCAGTCTATAAGAGAATAGGGCTTTGATTTGGACAATTTAAAACTCTTTTTGATTTCAGTGATCTTATTCTTCCTTAAGTGTATAAAAATAAAACAACTCGCTGAGACTATAAGGTCACAGAACTGCTAAATTGGTGCCACTGGGGTTTAAAGAATATCTGCGTGTACAATGAAGTAGTCAAAAATACCTTTGTTAGAATCATACATTAATTCAACAAATATTTACTAAGTGCTCCTATGTGTTTGGCATTTTGCTCATGTTCAACATATTTGTTTCTTGATGAACAAGAGGGACAAGGCTCCTTTTTGGGCATGGAATGGACCTTGAAGGCCTTGGAAGAGTTCTATGAAGAGAGTTGCAAAAAACATGCTTGGCAAAGGTTAAGAGATAAGATAAAGGTGGTGGACAGAGGAGAACAGAAAGTTTAATTTAGGCATTTCTCTCATGGAAGCCTGAAAAACGATACCACAAGCATTAGAGAAAAAATAATTGAGGTTTTGGACAAGATCAAGAAGTAAGAACATTATATATGTACTAGAGGCCCGATGAACGAAATTCGTGCAAGAATAGGGCTTCCTTCCCCCTGCTGCAGGCACCGGCTTCCCTCTGGCACACAGGACCCGGGCTTCCCTCTGGCTGCTGGCAGGTGCCCAGGACCTGGGCTTCCCTTGCAGCCCCGGCTTTGTCCAGAAGGTTGTCTGGAAGGACATCCGGAAGGATGTCCGGTCTAATTAGCATATTACACGTTTATTATTATAGATTAGTGGCCTGGTGCATGGATTCATGCACCGAGGGGGGGGGTCCCTCAACCTGGCTTGCACCCTCTCACAATCCAGGACCCCTCAGGGGATGTCGGACTGCTGGTTTCAGCCCGATCCCCACAGGCCAGACCGAGGAACCCCACTGGTACACACATCCATGCACCGGGCCTCTAGTATGCATATAAGATCTTTGGTTAATCTCTTCCCACCCGCCTCCCCGCTTCCCTCTGAGATTCATCAGTTTGTTCCATGTTTCCATGCCTGTGCATTGAGCATCTGCCCCCTGGTGGTCAGTGCGCATCATAGCTACCGGTTGAACAGTCACTTAGGCTTTTCTATATGTAGATAATACTGGGAGGCAAATTGGGTGGATCCTAGCAGTATGGACAGTTTGCAGTTATTTCAAGATTCCAGGATTGAAATAAGGTCCAGATTTATAATGGTGAGTGACAGAGGAAGAGAATACATAGAGACATTATGAAGAGAAAACTGGTAGTACTTGGTGCTTGAACCTATGAGATAAAAGAGAAAGAGAAATATAATGTGATGTCATGTTCTCCTAACCAGTTGAGATGATTAGAGAATTAACATGGCTCAAAATATAGAATCTATAATATTACTCAGTTTAAAGGCAATCAATTTTATAGATTGATTTTATTGATAAATTGTGTCTTAACAAAACAGCACACTAAAAATTAGTAACAAATCTGGTGCCTCTTTCTACTACTACACCAAGGGAAAGGTCATGGTAGCATATGAAAAATATAGGCAGACTCAAATTTGAATTCTCTGCACAGGCTATGGAGCCTTGTTCTGTCTGAGCCTTGGAGCAAGTACCTAATCTCATATATATATATATGGCTAATATGCTAAGTTTCTGACTATCCGACTGGTCGCTAAGATGCTCACTGACCACCAGCGGGCAGACGCTCAACACAGGAGCTCCAGTGACACGCACTGGCCATTTACAGAGAAACTGCACCACGGACCTGGTGCCCACAAAGCAACACTTGGCTTCCCCCAAGTGGGACACAGGCCCCACCACCACTCCAGAGTGACACCCCACCAAATCGCAAACGATCGATGCCAATACCCATGGTGCAAAATGCGGCCCACAGCCTAGCCCAGCCCAGAAACAGTGGCTATGGGCACCAGGTAGTGACATCACATAGCAACTCCCGGCTTCATCTTCCTAGTGACTAGCCTCCATTAGACTCTACTGAGTTAAGTATCTTTTGCCTTATTCTTCATAGTTTTACTAGTGGCCTAGTGCACAAATTCATGCACATTGAAAGGAAATTAATTAGAAGAAATATTTTCTTCAGCCCAGGAACACGACTTGCTTTATAGCCAGGTGGAAACATTTTACACTTTAACCAAATGTCTGTGAAGCATTTTCCCATGCCTCATCTCATTTGATCCTCACAGAAGTCCTGAAGTGGGTAGATAGGAGACTCAGTGGAATCCTATTTTCTTTTCATTAGCCAGAAAATGGAGATTTAGAAAGCTTAGAAACTTGACCCGACTGAAAAGAAGTAAGAAATGGTGGACCTTGAAAATGACTTCAGGTTTTCTCACTGCGCAGAATATAGTCAAACACTGCTACAGTTAAATATTTTACCCTTTGTTCTCCCTGCGTGATCTACAATAATAATCTGCCTCATGTTGATACTTACTGCTGTGTTACTGACAATTACCTGACAGAGAAGTGCTTCACTGGGCTGGAAAAAGTTTAGCTAAATCAGAAAGCAGGCCTAATTAAGTAAGTTT